AGTGTGTGTGCACATTAATTCTTAACGTAATTGCCGATTTTTGTTTTCTAGCAGGAATACAGAAAATTCACTTTACGTGGACATACTTCATTTGAAAAAGTAGCGTTTTTCTTTAAAATTCCTAACCTTATATCCACGTAATTACGTGGATTTGGTGCGAATAGACACAGCGTTTTTTTTTTTTTAACTAATCAAGTGCTTTACTGACACACCACGAACGTTTTTGTTGACAACAGTCACGGTCACGGCACAGCGATTGCAGATTGCAGGAGGGAACGAAGGGACCGCCGTCTGCCGACGGCGCCGACCAGGATTGTATGTGTACACTCAGTGGAACTCTGATCTGTCCCGGACCCTATTATTGAACAGTACTTCACGCCATAGTTCCGAAATAGGGTCCGGGACAGATCAGAGTTCCACTGAGTGGAACATACAAAAATATACATGCGTTGAGACTTGATGAGTGAGTGAGATTGCGATCAGTGCCATCTACCGATGCGGATTCCGAGTTAAAAAGTGCCCCTTGCCCTTGCCATAGAGGCTGCAGATGTGGGGCGGAAAATTGCGCCGCAGAACTTTGGCAGGACAGTCTTTCTATAACTATATACACAGAAAGCTTTTATACTTTTTGATAGTCTGATTGGCCAACCAAAATTCCGTCACGTAAATTTCCGCAGCGTGTATATACTTAGTGATACGCAGCCGAATTCAAGGTAGTTCGTAGGTTGACTAGCTAATACCGACCTGACGGTAACGTAGAGCGCAACCTAAAATGACTTGCTAGGTGACGGTGACGATTGCGGAAAACACTCGCGTTAGAGTGGCGCTGATGCTAATTTGACGGTGTTCGGTGTTCCTTTTCTCCTTTACAGGGCTTTTGTGTTGCCATCGAGGATCGCGTTTGAAGCAGGTGATTATTTATTGGCTTTTTTCTTTATTTAAAGCAAACTATACCGAAAGATTGTTTATGAAATTAATGCTATTCATCTAACGAGTGTTTTAATGTACTTTGAAATGATAAATTCGTAAATAATTGGTAGATGTAGTAAAACACGTGTTAAAGTTAAGGGTAGTAAGGTTATGAGTGGTATTCATGAATATCATGCATACAGTTAACTAGTTACGAAGTAATATTGACAAAATTAACAGAGTTGATGAAATTTTATGTTAATACTAACACTTGAACACAACATATCAAATAGTCTATCGGAGCAGGGAAGCCAAGTGAAGTTTTTTACCATTATTTTCTTTCAGGCTGTCAAAATGTCGTCTCATTTAAACTGGATGATCATCCGCAACAACAATGCTTTCCTTCTCAAAAAAAGGAATATTAACAAACCCTTTTCCACAGTAAGTCATAGATATTGCTACAATCGTCTCAAAAGTTGAATATTACTGGTTGAGTTACTTTTCTGGCAGTGTTCTGTTAAAGATTCATTAGCGTAATTAACTTTAAAATTTTTCATGTATGTACTATTAGGTTAGGCATTAATGATAGTTTTTATTATTTTTCAGGAACCAAACAACCTCACAAATTTGAGCAGCTACCGCTACTCAGGGTTAGTTCACCGAAAGAGTGTTGGTGTTGTTGACACTCCAGATAAAAAAGGTTTTACAGTTGTATATAAAAAAGCCAAATGTGTAAACAAGCCTGCCAAAGCCACCGTCAAGAGAACCATGAAGGCTGGTGCCCGCAGATCTCTGTATAAACTGAAAACTCTTCTAAAGAAAAACAAGTACCGTGTTGATCTAACCAAGGTAAAATACAATTATTTATTATTTAACACGATTGTATTTGCTATTATGTGAAAATTTTGCTGAGTCCTATTTGCTTGTTGAGTTACTTCAGTTTTCAATATTTACAAAATTAAGTCTCGTTCCACTTATCTAAGTAAGCAATGATTAAACATTCTAATTGAGATATTGACCAAAAAAAAAAGTTTCACTACAACAACCATTAATATTAATATCGATACATAAACAAAACGTTTCATGATTATCATTTTAATTTACAGGTTGCTCTGCGCAGGGCTAGTGCTGTACTACGCTCTCAAAAGCCTTTACCTGCTAAAAAAACTAGAGCTGTAAAAAAGACAGAATGATATACTGAATAAATTCATTTATTAACAAAAAATTCAATTTTTTTTCATCATAACCATAATCTATAGTTTACCACTTCAATAGCTGTTATGAAGTTTTTTAATTAAAAATTTGTTGTTAAACTAGCAAAAAGTTAAGGGAGGATCTATTCCACATACATGCTAAAAATTTTGTTTACTTGCATTGTAAAATTATGGTGTATACAAGTGATTCTCGCATCAAGTTTATTTTAACAATAAAAATAACTTATTTTACTTGATTAGGATATATTGTCTATAAGAAAAAGAATTAAATGGATCTGGAAATACGTATATATACCAAATACTTGAAAGTAAAATCTATTAATAAAAACTGTATGTATAAAACAGTCCATATATTTAAATTACTTTGTAAAAATTTTTTTTTATCAGATTCTGCCTCACCTTTGTAAACGTATTGTATATCAGTGGATCCTTTTTATTATATGTCCATGAAGGCTATCACTTCATTCCGTTCGTCAACAGACGGTCAATAAGTACTGTATCATAATTTTTTTATTTGTTAATGTGTATTTGACCTCATCATATATATGGTGGAAGGTGAATGTTGACTTCACTAACGGAGTGACCGTCGTGACCGAGTGACGGTAGAACATACTACATACACACGTATGTCAATATTTATTTTGTAAACAGAAAACAGAATCACATTACTTATGGGAGTTATCGACCTATATGGGGTTTGATCGGGGAGGTTCATTGTGAGCGCGTGCACCTTACATGGGGTCTTGAACTTCTAGGACCAACTATATGCCCCTGTAAGTGCAACAAAGAGAGTATTACTTCTCACATGGACTTATGGCTGGTCTTGGAACTTCGAAACTCCTGATACGCAGCCTGTCTGCATATTTTATTTAAGATGTTGGTCATGAAGTAGTACAATATTATGTATGTGATGCAAAATTAAATTTACTGCTCAAAAATTTATTACACTAATTGTTGAAGATGTCATCTTGTTATGTATCACCTAAAACTAAAGCTAAAATTCTTAATTGTGTAGAAAACACTTAAACCGAGGCTTAGTTTAGTTGGATCGAAACAACTCAATCAACCAAACCGAACTAAATACCGAACAATATCATTTAAACGCGCGGTTTCGTACCCTACGCGAGTACTTAGGTATCCGACTAATCCGACTTATCGGTAGTACGCAACTGCGCAGTACCGCACTCATACTTACTCATAAACTCATTGAGATTAAGTCACGTCATGTCTCATGTCAGTCCGATACTCCGATGAGTCCGATCGTGTCAGTCTCTGATATCAACAAGGTAAGTTATTCTAACAGTAAACTATAAACTAACACTTGTATCAGTAAGGTACATAGTCAATATCGTCCAAATTCATGCACATATACACATCAGTTTTTTTTTTAGATGACTCAATTTACATAATTATTGCTGGGTAAATTAAAGATGTTTTGTATAAACAAGTATCTTGGAATGGAAGAAGTAAGACATTTGATATCTCAATTAATAAGAACAAATGCACGTATATTCATATAATATACACATGGAAATTTTATTCATTTCAAATTGCGGACAGTTACAATTTTACTAAGAAAATTCTATTTTTAAGTATTAGGAATTTATTACTAACCATATATCTACTTGGCAAGCAACCGAAATGTCTCTGGCTACTCCAGAATTGCTCAATGCAATAGCTGATTTATCTTCGATTAGAGAAATGAAGGTAGCGGTAAATTTAAGTGCCCAGTGTGGATTAATAGTTGGTGCTATCACTGCAGTGGGTGGTATCCTTGGTGGACCACCTGGAATCGCTTTAGGTAATTGTACTGAAATTTCATCTTTATTTATATATTTTATCAAGTTACTATTATTGGCAGGTGGTTTATTGGGTACTGGGTTGGCAAGTTACCATGCAGGTGGTAAATTCAAGTCAGTTCCGGAAATTTTAGCGCAGGAAGCTACTCCAGAGCAAAAAGAAAAACTGGCAACTGCTCTAAGAAACTTGTTAAATGCACAAAATATTTTTACAGTTTTAGAACTTGCAGCAACCATGCAAAACAACAGATTGCTGATGGAGGCCGTATCAAAAGTTATACGTGAATTTTTCATGTCTGATATGGGATATTGTATACTGTAATATTTTGTCTTATTTTCATTTAAGTGATCTTGTGTACAGTGCGATATTTTTTTAATGTTATTGGTTAAGCTAAGAAAAAAAAAGAATACTGTACATACTGTCATATAAGCTTAAGGGTGTCATAGAAATAAAATTTTTTAAGTATTGAAAAAAAATAAAAATTTATTTAAAATTATTTCGTACATTTGTCTCATAATACTTATTATTGTTCATTGTCATAATGGTTTGCCATAAACTCGTCGATTTCTAAAATTAAATTCATGTGTGTGTTGTATAAATATCTATAACTAGAGTCTTTAATTACTTCTTTGATATTGTCCCTGATGTATTCTTTCAGTTGGTTTTTTACATCCTTCAACTTATACTTATCAGCTATGGTGAGACATTTGGCAACATTAGTAACATTTAAACCAGACATTAAATAACTGAGGTACTCCGAATTATTGATCAGCTGAGATTCATTTTCAGAAATAAACTTTTTTACTTTGCGCAACAAACTTTTCACGTCATATTTCTCAGCAATCTGTAGTATCAAAGTTGCATTGTTCACTGTGATATTTTCATACATATAATTTTTGCACAGATTCTCAAGATCTATTAAATTATAAAAATGAGCAGCTTCGTACAAATGATTAAACATTGTTGATAAATCTTGTACATTATTTGTGTACATGTAATAGAGCAACTCTTTTATTACATGGGGCGTGAATTGCTCCACAGGTATCACACCAGTTTGCTCCTCGATCATTTTGCTGTTGAACATAGCATCAAAAACTGAACTATGAGCAGCTAATATGTTTCTATGCGCTCTAATCTCTTCATCACCGACTTTTAGGGTGACATCTGTATACCTATCTTCCAAAGCGAAGCAATAAAGTTTAAATAGCTTCTCGTCACTGTAAAACGCTTTTTGTGGTAAAAATGTCTCAATGGAAGATGAATCGCCAACAGAAAACCTAGTAGTATCAAAGCAAACCTGTACTAGACCGTCTTTATTCACTGACTTCCCAAGCTGACATAAGTTGAAAAATAAAGAGTGCTTCAACTCATTGGTACCGCAACGCTGGCTTTGAAAGTAGTGGGTGCCATATTCTGGCTTGTGTAAAATGCTTGCCACTACTTGATAGGTGCACGGCTCGTTGTGAAAAACTTCGTTGCGCATGAAATGTAAGGTCATACCTGCGTTTTTAGCACCATACTTGCTCTTCTTCTCCGAGGACGAGGATATGAAACTTATGTAGCACTCTTCTGCTGGAGAATCCTTAAATTTGAATACAGGCGACCTGTACTCAATTCCCGTGCATTCTCTTATCGTGGAGTAGTTGATGTTGAAGACAATGTAATTCGTTTCCTTCTTCTTGATTGAAATGTTAGTGCACTCTTCTGATCCCTTGAAGTCCATGTTTGACAAATCTGAGAAAAACAATCAAAATGATGTTACAAAAAGTTGACTAATTTACCAAAATATAATTAAATCTGATTGTTTTTACATTTCGACATTTGTAAAATATATATCTCATAATTATTATAAAAAATAAAAAAAACATTGCTTACCTAATTCTAAGAAGAACCACTGAGAGTAAAGGTTAAAAAATAACTACACAAAATAATGAATCCAATTCAAAATACATTGTAAATGTTTATCAGAGACGAAGAAAAAACTATACCGAATCATGAAAAGTTAAACCACGTAATAAATAGAAATAAACAATTAATCGAGTACATGTTGTTGTTCGTTTATTTACTGTTGTTTAATTTTTTTTTTTTTTATTTAATAATAAGGAATTCCCATACTTTGGTCGTGTTCCTAAAAATTTTTTAATGACACCAGGACATTTTGAAGCAGTGCTACTTAGAGAAATAAAAAAAATGATAAAAGGCAAGTGGAGTTGTCCACATCGCTTTATACATACTACAGGTAAGATATACATACGGAGGAGAAAAAACGATGGATCGCGGCGTTATAGCTCTGATTGAACACTAGCGCAAAACCAACGTAACAAACGATATGAATTTTTTTTTTATTTTTAACTTATTTCGAATTAATATATTATTGATTTGAAAGTTTGAGAATTTATAAAAAAATTAGCATATTTTTCCTTCCTGTACATGTGATAATAATCGTTATTACTGATGAACCGAAAATCTAAGTGTGTAAATAAAAATTTATGTAAATAATTAAAGGCTTGATTTAATAAGACATTGTGTACTGAGTTCTGTTATTAAGTTTAAATTTGGTAGGTATAACCAAAAAATTTTAAACGACCGACGTATGTATTCATGTACAAAATTTATTACAAACTATAAATATACTTCAGTAGAGTACAAAATATGTACGAAATTTTATCTCATTATCTTACCAAATACTATTATACAATTGTTCATCATAAATAATTTTTAACAATTAACAAAACTAATTTCACTTTGAAATTGACGATAAATTCAATGGTTTTTGTATTTGAATCATAATTTACATGAATCAAATCTACGAGTAAATAATATATTTGCTCATGTGAAATAGCAGTTTCAACCAAAAAATAATTACTGTTGTTACAATTTAATCAAGTTAATTTTTGAATTTTCTAATTATCCTGTTGGCTTATTTAACAATCTGGTACTTCTTTTCAGCTTTAAAAAATAGCCGTTTTCGTGAATTACACGGGAGAAACTGTAAATCAACGGCTTCTTATGGCCACCGATTATTTTATGGCATAAAGAACGCACGGTACTTTTCAGCATAATAATTTTTTTGAATTTTTACACCTCATTATTTAACCAAATAAACTATATGGATTCAACACACTACTGTGTTTTACTTAGTAAGTCTCGGGCGAAGCCGAGACGGGGGGCTGCTAGTCTGTTAAGATTTTTCTTCGTACATTACGTGCGCTTCTTCTTTTTGGTTTGTTTTCGGGTTCTGTGTCGCTGCTAGATTTGGATGCGCTAGGCACCGGAGAGTTGCCGCAATCGCTCTCAACGTCGCTTCGATCAGAGATCGTTATGATGGGTAACGCGATTGGCTGTGGAGACTTTCGACGCCGCAAGTTGCGTGTTGTTTTTTCGATCTGCACTTTGGGTGTTATGCAGTTTGGAAGCTCTTGCTTCGTTACGTCGATCGTTATGTTCTGCGACACATAGATGTCTGAAAACAAAAATAATAATAAATAATTACTATTATTTTTTACAAATTTGCATTTTAAGGAAAAATCAGATTTATCCAAAATAAACACTTACTTAGCTTCGTGTGCATATCATCGCTAATATAATATTGAGCATAAAGGTCGGTTGCATAATAGGTAACACAATGCTTGCTCAGATCGTTATTGGCGGCGATATTTTTGATCTCGTCAAACAATTCCAAGGCATCCTTCTTCTGGTCGGGCTTGAATTCAACGATAAACAGGCTGAAATCCATCAGGTACAGCAAATAATCGACGGTATATTTTTGTGGGCGTTTCCACTGATACTCCCGATACTGTCGCGATTCTTTCGCATCTCGTTCGTCAATTTTCAACTTAATTTTGCACGCACCGTAGAAGTAGCGCTCGGCTTCTTTGACATACTTTAGCAGGCAGAAGAGCTGAGCTTGTATGTGGCTACACGAAAAGACCAATTGCTGGTAATGTACATTATTGCAGAAAAAGCACTGGCAGAAAGAAGAGTGCTCTAAATACAATGGTGGTACAAAGAGTTTTTTTTTGAGCTCTGGCGAAGCACAGTTCTTTGAGAGACTAACTGGTGTGATTACCGCAGCATCTCGCACCGCAACCGTAGACGTTAACTGCAACAATCGAGAGGATTTAATGTTTGTAATGGTCAAAAAAATGATGTATAATTTCAAATACTTTTAGCCTCACCTGATCTGATGTTGTCGAGGATTTCGGCTGCAACTTTGTCTTCATCGAGGCTTGAAAGTTGTCCAGACAGAGTATGTGCTCGAGATCCTGCAGATGAGTTTCGCAACTGTCAATCTGAGAGCGCAGGAGATCAATGTAACAAAGGTACTTGAGAATCTCGGCTATCCTTTGACTGATGCCTAACTTTTGCGCGAGCTTCAGCGCCATCGAGAGATGAAGTGATGTGTCGCGGTAGGATATTAGACAATTCATTGGAATGAGTACATTGTTCAAGACTTCAAACATCATTTCACACGCAAATAAGTGATACTTGATGTTCCAAAATCGGATTACACCTGAAAAGTTATTGATTGTTATTATTATTATCAAATTCGTCAACACGTGCAGCAGAATATTTAAAAAGTTTTAACGAGATGCATACTTTCTGACACTATTTCATACAAGTTTATCAGTAAGTAGTGAATCTCAACAATAAGCTGACTATAAGTTTCTTGACTAGGTTCCAAGTTAAGTGTAAAGTAATTGCGAAGTTGTATGTCTGCTAGGTAAATATACAGCTTAGCATTGCTAAGTAAACTAAAATTAGGAATTGATTTCACTTTATCTATCAGTACCTTGGCTTCTTCGACCTGAAAATTATAAGCAAAGCCAAGTGTAATAAAGTGTAAACATTTTTCTTATTTTTTTCCTTTACTGTTACCTTTTTACAATCTAAATACAAATCCGCTAAACTCAACCAAAACAAAGAAACAACGTCATGATCAGTGGATTTTTCGGAGCTCATTATATTATCAGCATATTGTTTCGCACTGTTAAGCCATATATCACTAATAAATTTTATAGAAAAACTTCTACTTGTTACTAGAAAATAAATATAATAATTAAGTACAATTTAATTATTTACTATGAAATTGTTAATCAACGCGAAATATTAAAAAAACCTATGTATGAAATGAAAGTACCATATATACAAGATGTAAAGTCTTGGATAGCTGTTGCCAATTTATGAGCTAATCTCAAAGACCTTTCTTCAATAGCACCAAATTTAAATAGTCTACAGTATTCTCCACAAAATATAATCGTTTCTAAGGTGTATTTCGGTTCCCAACCTGTGGTTGTTGCTGACTGTCCAGTATAACTCAAAATTATTTACTGAAAGTTAATAAATTACTAAAGGGCTAGTGCTTATTGAACTCACCATATCATTCAGCATACAACTTTCCCATAAATTCAGAACGTCACGCAGCTCGTTGGAAAGCTTGTTGTCCTCTTCTATGCTGATTCCACCAAAAGTCGGTACGATGATTTCGTTTTCTTCCCCAACGTCTGTATTGGCTTTGTTGCCCTTGAGAGTTTTGAAAGCTTTTATCGTGAAGTTCGCATCTTCCATCTGCTTACCAATGACTTTACCTCTCACAAACAATTTTTCAATTATACTAAAAAAACTAAGATTCGCCAGTAGACATTGATTGCTACTTGTTAATTTCTTGCACTTTTTCAACTTTTCTATTGCTTTCGAGATATAATTCGAAATACTTTTTCTAGAACTTAATTGTAAGGCATGAAAGCAAAGCAACAAAGTTCCTTGAGCAAATTCTATGACGCTTTTTTTCGATTCTAGATAAAATAAATAAAACGTCATTAAAATCGATCAAGTACGATTTATAAAAAGAATATAAAAAAAAATATACCCAATTCATTCAAAGTTCGTTTCATCGTGCTTAGAATATCGCTCTTTATCAAAAATAGAGATCCAAGCTCTTTAAGGCACAAATCATTTAAATCGTAGTCATCTAAATTTATACTAATACCAAATTTCTTGATCACATCGACGTCTGTTCTCAAGCATTCTGACATGGTAAGGTTTTCAAATTCTTTTGAATCTTTAGTTCTGAGTTTGATGTTTGCCCACATATCACAAGCTTTCTTTTTTCTTCCTTTAAAGTTACTTAGAAGAGCATTGTAAGCTGCAAAAGTCATGGCCTGTCGGTAGTTTTCTAAAATGTGATGAAAAATTAATAAAGTTTAGCGTGTACTATCAAGTAAAGTAAAATATCGAATGTTTACCTTGATTGAAATATATATTACACAAACGATGTAAAGATGTACCAACGGGATTTTCCAATCCAAAACTACTGACTGTTGCTTGTAAGCCATCATAATGAACTATTTGTTTGCATAGAGTTTCATATAATCCCTCAAGCTGTCCAGCATATTTATTTTCACTAATCAGTCCAATATTAAAAATTAGTCTCCCACAAGTTTCCCACAGCAACGATGAGTACTTGCAACCAAAGTCTTGTAATTTATTCACAGCTGATACCAAAAACTCTAAAAGTTCTTTAGTTATTGCAAACATTTTTTCGTTAAGAGTCTCTTGATTAGCTTTTGTTAAAACTTTAATGTATGTTGCTGTGATCACGGATGCTTGATAAATATCTGTTTTGACTAGACACTTATCCGGCTCTGAGCACTGCTTACAAACGTTATTCGAATGCTTGCGATGTAGTAAAATATTATGAACAGTTTTGACAAAACCGCCCATTTTTACGATATCATCATAAGTAATCGTTGTGTTTGCTAATTGTAATGAAACTAGTTGTTCCCAATTATTGAATAAAGTTTCGAAACTCATAGCTATTGCCGAGATAGTTTGTATCAAAGAAGTGTTTTTGGCACTGTATTTTTTTAACAACACTTCTAAAATAGTGGCAATTTTTTCAAAAGATGCCTTATTAATTTCTTTAGACATGAAGTTCGTTTCAAAAAGATGTATAAAATATACTCTAAAAAGTTTGTAACAATCACTGCATTGAGAATCACTAGCAAAAAATTTGACAAAATATTTATCACACTCCACGAAGTAATTAAAAATATTCGAATTATTTTTTGCATCACTTCTTTGAGCAAAGGCACAACCAATACTGACAATCAGTTTGTTATAAACATTCATTACTGGAATTTTTGTCAAACCACTAATATAATTTGACAAAGTCTTAAATATTTTTTCTAAACATGGGAAAGCAGTATCTAATGGTATTTTACTCAATTTTTTCACATACATATCTGCAATAGATAAAATATATAGATCCTTATCATTACAATTATTCAAGATGCTCAAATGAAAATTGACGTAATTAATGAATTCTTCATTAATTTCGATTCTTTCGGCTACAGTTTTAGATGACCAAGTATCAAGTTTTTTAAACAACGCTGTTTGCCATAATCCTGCTAACCGGAGGTACTTTGAATAATTTTCAGTCTCATTGGCATTCAGAAATTTTTCATGAAGCAAGAATTTTGTTATAAGCTTGGCTTCCTTGAAACATGGTTTTAGCAAAAGGTAGAAAACAACATAATACAATGCACTGTAGTATTTTTCCAGATCTGGTATACTTGTCAGATTTTCACAGACAGCAGCAGCAATTTTGAACACATGTGTTTCTCTAGAAAGTTTTTCCTTGTAGCACTTGTCTGCACAGTGCGACAGATGCAAAAGAACTTTGAACAGGTACTTGTTACTTTCAGCATTTTGTTTAAGATTTCTAAAGTTCTATGGATGCAAATAATTGTTATGAAATTATTATTAAAAAAAAATTAAATTAAAAAGATAGGTAAGAACAAGGTACTGTACCGTTGTATCAATGTCTTCTAATTTTAAGGTTTGAATACAACTGATCCAGTATTTACACTCATCAAGGTACTTAGCCATGTTTCTAAAATGAGAAAATTAAAATAATGAAATATTTCACTTTCCAGAAGCAACCAAATAAGTACATTTTCATTAAAACGATTGATGGGGACCAAAGTACCTATGGATTTATAAATACATACCCTTTTGTAAAATAATAAATTCACCTTGGCCAAAAAGGACTTGCCAGTACTTGTAAGTAGTGTTTTTGCTATACCACTCTAAGAACACATAAGTGGATATGAACGACGACAAATCAACAATCAGAAAACATATTTCGTTTGTAGAATGTCTGACTAAAATATTCTTCAGCAACGGAGCAACGACAGCCGTAACGTAACGTCCATTCGTTATGAGAAATGAGAAGTTTAAAATTTTTTGAAGTTGAGTGTGCGTGCGCGTTGCTGAATATGTGTTTATGTTTTGATGATTTGATCACGTGATCACACAAATTCAAGACTACCCCATCTGGCATTTGGGCGAGGTATCAAAAAGCGAAAAGCTATCTACCATAGACAAACAAAAGTAATTGTTGACTCATCACTCATGACCAGTTGAAAGTTGACAGTTGAGTTGACACTTGTGGACTTGCCTCAGCCTCGTATAACTTTGAGCAACCAAAATTGCTTAATCATCTTGACTTTTACATAAGTATGAAATAACAAAAAAAATAACCAATCCTACATTACAATTTTCATTCTCTCTTTATCGACATTACTCTTTTTGAACTCGCCTGCTTTGCTAATAACTGCTACCTGTACCTGCTCGCTCTAGATATTAAATATCTATGGTAGTAGCTACACACAAGTACATTTCACAGCAGCAGCTGATGCAAATTGCACACACAAAAGAGAACAACGCAAAATATGGAAGGGTGAAGGTATAAGTACTTTACTACTTACATGTTACTTGAAGAGTTTTTTTCACGCACGAATGGAAAAATTAATGCATACTCAATCGTCACTTTGTCAATGGAATAAGAGGTAGAAAAAAATAGTTTTGCGTTGACGATAGAAACAAGGTAAGTCATATATAATGTCAACATTTCACTAATACGCAACAGCCATGGACGAAGAGTCGCTGGATCCCACAAAAGTTAGACCTACCCTTGAAACCTACAAAAAGCTTTCAAAGGACGTAGCGAACCATGACACAATCCTGAAGGTAAATATCTGCTTCTTGAACTCTTTTCTTCTTTTGGGCAATCGGTTACTTGTATTTTATATTGTCTTTACTTATACCGCCACATAACATTTCTTATTTCAGGACAAAACGGTACTGTCGTACGTGGCCGTGGTTCTAGAGTACCCTGACGTGGAGATCGTCGAACTAGGACTTGACATCCTCGAGGCTTTTGTGAAAAACGTCGAAAATTACGGACACATAACCTCGACCTTTGGAGTCAGAGAAGCTCTCGATGCTGTAGTGAACAAATACGCGCAAGACGATCCCAAGCTGGCCAAAAGGGCTGAGCAGGTGAAGAGCGATATCGAGAGCATGAAACCCCCAATCTACAATTTACGCAGCCGCTGCCGCAGGGTCATCGAACCTAAGAAGCTCAGGACGCATGTTATTGTGCTCCACGTCCATGGCCTCCTGCCTGTTAGTTATCCCTTACAAGTTTGTTCGATTTTATTTATTTTAATGTCAACTTATTAACTCATGTATTCGTGTTTACACAGGAAACTCGAACAGACCTGGAATATACTTTGATAAGGATCGAAGGTTTAATATCTTTGGTTGTTGATGTGGAACATCAGCGTGTTACAATGAGAACCCTAGCCACTGTGACAGCCAAACAAATTGCAGAAGCTATTGAGGATAATAATCCAACAATGGAAGCTAGATTAGTGACCCGGAATAAGTATAATCAAGAATTTTTAGTTAAATTGGTAAATAATATAAATTTATTTGGACTAAATAGTCCAAACGTGAATATATCTTGTATGTTGATTATGTTTTTTTTTCATTTTAGTTAAACACAGATCTAGGTGACTATGATGATATGCCAGAGTATTTGCCAGAAGATGATGAAGAGCAAGAAGACGAGGAAGCTGGAAAAGAGGGTGTAATATCTTTATTCACAGGCTTGCGGCAAAGTGCATCAACACTCTATAAATCCACAGCCGAATTCCTAAGTAATTCCTTTTATTGGTGAAACACCAAAGGAAACTTTTTTTCTGGCGCATTTTAAGTAATCGTTGACGATTTGCGCATTTATCCCTTGATGCAGAAATTAATAGTCACAATTATTGACTCGTATTACTGTTACAAAAACCAGCTTTGCAATTTTCAAAGCTTTGTTTTCATCACACCACCATTTATCATCAATTTGTGTTGTCTGATTCTTGAGACTTTAACAGCGATACATGTGTAACTCGAATTTATCTAATGTTATGACTTCCAATGAGATTATCAAATGTTAAGCTGAAAGTAAGTAAATTACATGCATATTCTTGTGATTAAAAAAATTTTTCTAGCAAATCTTATTCTATAGTTGAGAGATAAATATTCTTGAAAGCTAATGGGCTTGAGCATTTTGTTATACTCATCTATCACAAGGCTGTGCAAAAAAATGTTTATCTAAAATTATAAAAAAAAGTTTAATCACGGCGTCGTGTAAAAAGTGGTCATAATTTTTGTCTGTGGCACAATACATAAGCACTATGTGAAAAGGTTGAATTATTGAATTTTTGTTTGTTGAAATGACTTAAAATGCAATCGATCTTTATTTTATTGAATTTTACAAAAAAAAATAAAATAAAAATGTACAAACTTTACGCATGTATCCGTTATTATCCTACTAAAAAACATTTTATATTTTCTGATGATTTGATAGTTGATGCAGGGTTAAATAAAAAGCATAAAGATCATTATTATTTTACACTTTTATTAAATTAATTTTTTTCTGTATAGTAGATACACCTTGAACAAAGAAAAATTGTGACAAATTTCAGTATTTCTAAGCACATTTTGTGGCGTATAAATTTATTGTCTATATTTACAAAAAATCGTCGTTAAGGCAATCTGAGTTTATTTCAAGCAGGTACAACGATGCCAGACTTTCTTTGTTTTTCTTTTTTTCACATTTACGTATGAATTGTTCTAGAACTGTGTCGATATAACTATACCATTTCATTGGAATAATTTATGTTAATACATGCTTGAAAAGTGAGTATCTAAGTAATGTACTGATTTTCATATAACATAATTTACCGTATTAAAATTTGTGTAAAACACACGTACATATTTTGAATCTTCTAATATTTTATTTGTATGGACTGCCAATTGATTTCTCAAAACTATCCTCCTTGAAATCTACTTTTTTGTTTTGCATTTGCATCTACAAATAAGTTTTATATAGTCGCTATTAATGTTTATCGAAAAAATATAATATTGCAGTAATCATTATTTCATCACTAACACAAGATATCCTTATGTAACGTACACCACATTAGTTAAACTACCAAAGAAATAATACGGTATATTTTTTGTTATCTGTTTTCGTTGATATTTTTTTTTTTTTATTGCAATCAGTAATACACATCGCACATAACTTGACAATTGGTGGACGTCTAATTTAATACTTCTTTGTTACTACGTTACAAAAATTTCATCATTGAGTACAATATTTTCTATAAATATTGTCGAATTTTTTATTTTTTATTTTTTAAGATCTTCACATATCTAAAGCTATGCATAAACGTACAAAGTAAAAAATGTTTTATCCTTAGGAATGTTATAAGTATAGTATAGTCAAAGAGGAACTGTACATAAAAAAAAGAATAATCAAATCAGAACCTTGCTTTATACATTTTTTTGCTTCATAGAAAAGATTTTCTTTTGAGTGTATTTTTTATATGTACAACAACCTATTGTTATGTATCTTGAATTGATACCCAGTCTAGTATGACGTGTATATATATATATAATTTAAAAACTTTTATTTCATGATTGCAAAAGTTGTTGTATTTTTCTTTCTACTGAAAAGTACGTAATTTTTGTAATATTGCAGAGATTCTTCTGGAACTGAATAGGTAAAAAAAAAAACTCACGAATATTTCAAGTCTAATGATGACCAGGAATATTAATTTAAACATGAATAAATGACACCACTGTAAGATACGTAACTAAGGTACACTTATTAATTAAGTAAGTACGATTAACGCGCCGATCACATAATTTGTACATGTAAAATCATTTACAAACTACTTAAACTAGGTTTATTCAAGTACATTTAGAAAAAGAATTCTTTTAGACTAATTTAATGAGAATTTACTTGTTTCACTTGGTCAACAAACCCCACCAACGATTGATTACAAGTTAAATTTACTTTAAAATAATACTTAAAAACTAATGTAATACGTGTAGTAATCTAACTGATGACTGTACTCATTCCTGTTAACGAATAGTTATTTTATTTTATATGTACATGCGCACAAAAAAATGAGAATAAACGTACAAAATATGAAGGTTCATTCACATATCACGAGGACAATGTTAAGATAACTGATTTCGATAAATAGTTTTAAATTTCAAAAGAACTAAAAAAATTATTCTACAAAAATAAAAATGTAACAATGCATCACACGACTTTACCTTTTATCTTCACGGTAAAGAAGTTAGAAATCGAATAACAAAAGTACATAAAAAATTAACGTAACGAACTGATTGGACGGACTCGCAATCGATGGAATTCGTCAACCAAGCACACACACACAACACTGGTACCTTTCCTCACATAATCACATTATTACACCCTACTTACGTACTTGGCAACCGTCGCGACCGTAGCGACCGTACTCTCGCTGAATTCGTCAGACTCTGACTGGCTCGCCGACGACGATGCAGCGCCGTCGCTCGTATAAACATTAGATTTTCGCACGCTGCAAGCAGACAGTGTTCGTCTGCGAGTGTAGCCATATTTTGCGTGGATCGAGGGCGTCGATTCGCAAGAGCCAACGCGACGAAACGCGCGCTGCACCTCGGGATTGCTCTCGAGAGTCGACGACTGGCTGGAGGGTGGGTGTGAGTATTCGGAGGTGTTCTCCTCGTCCGAGGCTAAAATTCGCTTGTTACTGAGTACGACTGGGAGTGTGGCTTTGGGCCGACGATGTCGACAACCCGGACCGATTGGCCTTCTCGCAATACTATGAAGGAAAATAAACACATTTAGACAATTTTCATGAAAAAATGTAACATACAAAAGAGCCTTTTCGGATTTACCTTCTCCTTCTGAGCGAGTAGTTGTATGTATATTTTGGATCCTCTCCCTCTTCGTCGGACCAACTGTCTTCCTCTCCAGCATCGACATCCTCGTGGGCGTCTATCACGTCGGTATTACTATTCAAATTAGTCTCTATGTTCTTTTCCACTGCTTGACTCTGCAGTTCATCCATGATTCTTCTGCAATTCAAGAAGAAAAAAGTTTTTTTTGTCCATGCAAAAACAATCATGCAGTGATTTCAAGAGATCACTTTATGACTTACCCGTGCGACACAATGCCACAGCTATTGCCGTTGTCAATTGGCGAAACAAGTCCGTTGGCGTTCAGCATTTCGTTGACCTTCCTGTCTAGCGTGTCCAAATTATCATCGTCACTGCAATCTTTTAGCCTCTCGCTGTTACCGTTATCATTGAGTAGTTCAGGACTTGAGCACGGACTTTTTGTCGGCTGCAATCTTCGATGATACAATTGAATCGGCTCCGGGTTGTTGCCGTTATTGGGACAGTCAAGAGCTGCTTTTGGATATAGGCGATTGGAAGATACTTCAAAGATGTATTTCTCCTGGACGGAAGGACGTCGCTGCTGTAGCTGAGATTGCTGCTGAGGCAGAGGCTGCTCATCTCTGTAGGTCGAGTCGGTTTCGGTCGAATCGATCGCCATCTCGGTCTGTGTTTGGTTGTCCACTAACCGGCTAGCCGATATTTCCGCAGCCTAAATGTATATAAATATCGTACGATTAAATATATCTCGCTTTTTTACTTTGAATACAGTGATAATTCTTTCAATACATTCTTTAATCTTACCTTTCGTTCCCGCTGCGGACTAGATCTCGGACTTGAGCTGATCCCACAACCGGAGCCGACTCGTCGATGCCTGAATTTGCGCTGCTTGAAAGTACCAGGCACTACCACATTCTCAGGTTTATTGGAGTCATTAAGCTGCGCGTACATGGTAACCTTAACGGGACTCTTGGGCGAGACTACAGGCGGAGACGGTGACGTCGGACTCGATGATGAGAACTGTATCGTAGTGGGGTTGCGCCGACACTTGAGAATTGGATGCACCATCCGCTTCTTACCCTGCTTGTGTCCAGAATGCTGTTCTCGTCTACAAAAAAATTTAATCATGAAAATAAACGTCGGTTTCGTCGCATCGTAACATGCAAAACTTTTTACTAGTGTTGTATACAAGTATACTAACTTGATAACGTCTCTTTCACGCTGTTCAAGCTGCGACAGAACTGCACTAAGCTCCATATAAAGCTTGTTGGTTCTCTGCAGCTTGCGCTCGTAGTGTTCTCGGATGTCTTGTGCGTGTCGCAATTCGTCCTCTCGTCTGCGTATCAGATCCGCCTCGAAGTCCCGACTGCTCGTGCTGTCGCTCTTTATTTGCATTATGTACGTCGCTATTTCGTCTTTCCATGTTTCCTGAGCTTTCAAGTACTTGTCCTGCGGCACACTCTCAAGCTCAACAGCCGCTATTTGCAGGTGTGACTCGATCTGTTTAAACGACGGTCTGTTACGCGGCTTTGAAGCCCAGCACTGCTCCACTAGTAGCTTGTAGCCATCCGGACACGTTTTCGGGATGGGCAGCCGCAGCGAGTTGTTGCCCACACCGTACATTATTGCCGACGAATCAACATCCTTGTACGGTATCTCGCCACTGAGTAGCTCCCACAGGACGACTCCGTACGACCAGATGTCAACTTTCTCCGAGCACGGTTCGTTTCTGATGATTTCGGGCGCCATCCACGCGACCGTGCCAGCAAACGTCATTCTAGCGCTTTTCTCGTTCCACTCGCGACTGGTACCAAAGTCGCTGATCTTGACGATTTCTTCGCGCCCAATTAACACGCTGAAAACAGAAAAGTTTTGTGGATACTAAACAATTTTAGATGGATGTTAATGTTATTCACAAAATCTGTTTGAAACTTACTTTGGACTTTTCAGATCTCTATGAATTATTTTGTGGTCGTGCAAGTACTTCATGCCTGCTGCGATTTGCCTGGACCATGAGGACAGCCGAGATGGTGGAACAGATTTATTTACTCTCAACCAATCGTACAGTGGTCCTGATGGACAAAACTCCATTATTATACAATAGCATGGAGCCTGTGTGCATACACCCCTGAAAATGACAAAGCACACGTTGTATCTCATCATCGTTTGACGTCTGATTCATTAAATGCATTGATATTTGACTTACTTAAATTGCACGATATTTGGATGGTTCAGCTTACGAAGATGCTTAATGTTAGTCTCACTGGGCTCCCTCACTTTCTTAACTGCTACGATTTCTTTTTTCAGTTTACCACTAAAGACGGCTCCCTGAGCACCAGATCCCAACCACTTGAGTTCACTAATGTATTCAAACGGTATTTCCCAATCATCAGCTGAAAACAATGTTAGAAATGATTCCATATTATTAAAAGCGTATTCGATTGAGTTATAAGAGTATTCAAATTTTAAGCTCACTTTGGCCTCCTTTCTTGTCACTGTAGATGACTTTTTGAACAAGATTTGATAGAGCAACTGTAACGGGCTGCATGCATCCAGCAATCCAACTGCCAAATGGTCTCTGGGCATAGACAGTGTCTGGTGCAACAGTTGCCTTTGTTGTGTTCTCACTGGAATCTGTGTTGCTTTCACAATCAACGCCATTGCAACTTGGCATCTGAACCACATTAAGTACTGGATCACTTTGTATACCATTGAGTTGACTGAATTCCTCTTGGATACACATAATACTGAAATACAAATAATTACGTTGTTTGTAATTGGTAAAAGATGTACTTATAAATATCTATGTAAAGGAATGGATCGTTCTTGAGTTTTTTTTATTTAGACAATAGGTGTATCAATTTTTTTTTAATTATTAAGAATAGTAGATAAAAAACACTGTTGATAAATTATTTTTAATTAGAAAACTTCTAAACTAATTTTCGTCATCTTTTTTTTCTAAATTAAAAACGGTTTAACTCACACGTGTAATTTTGTTTTTATTTTTATAGATTTAGTTTATCATAATTTCATTTCAATTACCAATCTCTAATGGCCCTGACAATAACAAAATATTTACACAATACCTCAAACTTTTTTATACAGAATTAAATGAATGAAAAATGCACAATCCACACGAAAATTTTTGAGAACTCTCCTGTGCTGATAAAATCGACATAGGAATAATCAATTACCTATTATAACTCTGTATAAAACTGTGTAGGTCACATAACCAAAGCCAACAATGTACTTATTTAAAAGGCAGTCCTCTCATACTATTGAAATAACAAAATGAAACTAATACATTGTCTTTTAGGAAAGGAAGGAAAATTTAACAAAATCACAATTGCGGGTAAGTACTACGTGCAAGTACAGAGAGATCAATATTTGCTCACCTATTGGTAACAATGCACTTATCAAGGGCAACATTGAGTTCATCGCGCGCTACGCGATTCTCTCTTTCCTGGCCTTCTGCCTTTCTGAGAAAAAATCTCGCAAGTACCATTTTTTATCTTATCCAACATATGGACTATATGGACCAACAGTCAAACTTCCACAATTACACGATACGCCTCGAGTCCTGCTGCACACTTTTTTATCACGTTGTGATAAGTAAAAAAGCGGGGGTGGACAGTGTCCAAAATGCAAGGTGCAAGTCGATTACTTAGCGTACGAAGATACTTAATCATTAGAATAGTTATTATGAGCTGATAAAGGTCAGTAGGTCTTATACGTGTATATGCAAACGAGTGATCATATCTCTAATCGATGAAAAACAATCGTTTTGTTTCAATTATATACAATTGAATATTCTTTGTTTAACAAAATTACACACCCGTACTCTGTGTATAAGTATTTTTCAGAGAGCTGGTATATTAAACTTATTAACAAGCTTATCAGCTGTTGAAGTTGAAGGTTAGAATTTAGAATGAATCCTAAAGCTGCACGCACACTTTTGAGACTATCATCACTGATACATGTAAGTGTATAATCTTCAACAACAACAACGAGGTCCACTCTTTTATCTTATTGCCTTTGATTAGGACGTACATGGGTATTTATATTTATGTATTATTTATATTCCACGGAAGATACTAAAAATTAAACTCTGTTCACTAAACTAAGTGTCTTTTTTATCCAACACTCGCATTCTACTGCGTAGGTTTTAAAAATAGGGGATAAATATATGTACTTATTTAACAATTGGAAAGAAAAAGAAAAACACAATTGTAAGTACAACACAAATGGACAACGACACAACACTATTGCTCCGAAATCTCTGACTGAAATAAGTATTCAAATGAGTGAACGATGGACTGCAGACAGTGCAGACAAAGACAGACGGAATGAAGACCAAAGAGACACACTAGCTGTTTGAAAAAAACAGCTATAAAAATATTACAAATGTGTGAAGCAACAAGCAACTAAAGAGAGTGAGAGATAAGTATACCAAGCCATTATATATATATATATATATATATATATATGTGTGTGTGTGTGTGTGTGTGTGTGTGTGTGTGTAAGATATACAGCGCGAGTACAGGTATACACAAATGTATATTCTACAATCTTTCAGTGATAAGATTTTCTTTTAATAAGCGATTTCGTTGCAAGATATCTCATCTCATATAAATGTTTCTAGTATCACCATCTACTATGTCTTTATACCTATAAAAGACAAATTTACATAGATATGTGGAGAAGAGGATAAAATAAAACAGTAGATAGGTATGTGTTTTTTTATGCCTTTTGTAGTTATTATTACAATTTAGATATCGATGAAACATTGAAGAAGCAAGATATTGATTGACATTACTATAATTATTTCTTGCATGAGGATCTTTTATCAAAACTGTCAAATCACCAAAATTAGCTTGTTTTTACACATTACTCTTCTTATTTGTCAGATTAGAGTTACTTACGTGTCAAGCACAATATAAAATAAGCGTATGTGATAATAAATGAAGTACATGCCAGAAAGCAAAATAGAACCACATGGGTTTTTAAAGTACATAGTTTCACTTGACTTAAAATGCGAGCAATATTATTCATGAATTTTTTCGCGCTCATGTACATAGAATGTATGTACAAATATCCCACAAGAAATTAATATTCCATCTTCGCGTATAAAATAACATACATTTACAAAACCGACTTATAGTTACCCAAAAATTTGCGAGTACGAAACTACACTGCAGCACTTACTTAAGAAAAGAGGGAACCAACGGTGCGATAAATATGTATGTAAGGCCCTAAAAAAGCTCCTTGGGGGGGCCATCACAACTAAGTATACTGCAGAATATTTATATTTATGTATTACAGATCATTTTGCAAAAAAATTAAATGCTACGTGTGAACAATGATTTCGCAAATTCAATAAAATTTGCAAAATATGTTACGATTCAAAAGAGAGACGCGCATCTCGGCTTCCATTATAAAAATCGGTAAGATGTTGCAGTTATAAGTACGACGCTCTTCACAGGATACTCGCTTGGCTTGGCACACACAGGGGTACCTACTATCTATATACTACACATACCTATTGTACGTATACTCGTCCCCGGGGAAGGTATATATTGTATACAAACGCGCGCTTGTGAATAATAAAAAGAGTAGAGTCCCACTCAATACCTATGCACCGATTGCATTATCTCAACCGAACAACCGAGCAGGTTGTCATCTCGTCGTGTGTGTATATATGATATATTCTCTGTAGATCCATTATGTCGGGGTTTTTTTTTTATCTTTGTAAATTGATTTTCCTTTCATTTTAACGTTTCCGATTCCAAAAGGAAAAAAAGATAAAGCACCTCAAATCTCCGCTATCCCCCGCTAAACGTTTGGTACGAAACCGTGAGTAGATATTTATACGCGGCTCGCTTTGTCCCTCGCGAGCGCGTCTCTAAAATCCCCCGAAAAAGCTTGAATGAAAGCGCAGTCGCTAATAAATCCTTGCAGAGATCGTGGTCGTCGCGATTTTTCACTCGGCAAACGTCAAAACACGCTCTACCCGCCCCATCTCGGGGAGATAAACAAACCCGAGTCTCTTTCCTGTTTTCGTGCTCCCTTTTTCCTCGTTTCCACGCCTTGCCCCTTCATTTTACGCAGTAAGGTATACCTACGAAGTTTACGAGCACACGGAGAGAGAAAGCAGAGCGTTATAAGTACTCCGGAGTCGGTCGGTTTTGAAAATGGAAGAAAAAAAAAATCCCCTCCAAGGACAAGTAGGTATTTCCCTCCGGTCTCCGTATATATAAATATATTCCATCGTGGCCGGCTCCTTTCTTCTCCGCCTTCAGAGAACGTCTTTTCTTTCTCGTCAGCTGTACATTATACCTGTACAACGTACATCGCGCCACCTCTGCCCCGTTCCGATGTTTCTCATGTACCGACAACCGCATGACAGAGGTGATTGCGTTTGAAGTTAGTAGTACACCAATATATAGGTTGTCCATACTAACATCTCGATAATTTGCCATATTTCGTTTCCTCTGAGAAAAAAAAATCTACGTAGGAAGAAGAAGAAGACAATTGGAAAAGCAATAAAATCTCGGGGGAAAAAATATGAGAAAAGCCCCCCCCCCTTACACCTGCATATGGCTACACTGTGCCAGTGTGTCCTCCAAACGAGACCTCGGAGGCATTGACATACTTTCGTATACATGTATACTTAATATATACACGCGCGAGTGGAAAGGCCGGCCGGCTGAAAGCGTCCAAAAATAAAGTACGCACGCACGTATACACATGTAGCTATATATTATCCCTCTCTCGATTCACTGCAACTATATTATAAACTCTGCATTCGCACCAAAGCCAAAGCATATAATGTACGTGTGCAATGTTAAACTGCATATTTATCGAAGGGAAGGGAAAGGAATAATGTTTGTTTGATTAAAGGCAAAGCTCACCTGTTGGCCAAATTTTCCGGCTGAGATTCGGTGGTCGGCTCCTCCTCCTCCTGGCCACCACCACCGCCACCATCGTTGCTCCCGTAGTTCTCCGGCTGGCCGAGCGTCTCCGTCTCCGCGGGGGTGCGCATCCTCGGAGCCTGTCACCTCTGCGCCCTTGGTCTGTAAAAACAAGCGAGCCAACGTTTCACCTAAGTATTGGAGACATAGGTAGTTTGGACAATTTTGTCACAACTGTTGCATTAAAATCAGTTTAGAAATATTGGTTTTTAACGAGGCTGGTGTTTCGTCAAATTCATTTCAATTTAAAAATCCATTAATGGATAATGCCGCATTTCGCGTCGAGAGGCCGATCGGGGAAATTTACCGTTTACTCGGTTTTCGTAAGCTTACGAAATCTCGCGATGGACTCAAGATTAGGTATGTACATTTTTTATTCATTTATAAATACGTGATTTTTCAAATTTATTGTGAATTGTAAATCCTTCGATTTTTGTTTTAGAGCGACTCTAAAAAGCATCCGTTATCACCATATGGTCCAAGTAGCAGTGATAAACGATAAAAAAACAATCTAATCTTTCGACAGCTTGTACAAAAAAAGATACGAGGAGAAAATAATTTGAAGAACGGGTGTTTCCGACCTTACACGTTTAAACGCGCACGTACAGGTTGTCATTAAGTTTCGTGGAAAGATAAAGGAAAATCAGTACGTTGACATCAAAAATAATTCTGGTTAACTGAATTTCGTAACTCCCGTACTAAATTGCTATTAAAACTGGTCATTACGTAAAATATAATAATTGTATAAGCTCGTTTGTTACTTGAAATTTTCATGGCAAATGAAAAATTACAATTCATTGACCTCGAAAAGGTATTTTTTTTTCTCCAACAATGAATACTGATAATTTTTATTATTTTTCATTCAGTTCTCTTTATCAGCATCGAAGATAGAAGAATTACATAAAAAAATACCGGTAATGATGATGACAACGAACTAGACGAACTTCTTTTCATCAACATTATGGATCGGGTATTTAAAAGAAATAATAATTTTTTTCCATCCTATCTCAAACGATATCGATCGTCACCTGACCAAAGCTCTTTTTTTTTTTTATTCGCCGAGTGCGACTGGTTGGAATAGATCATGCCATACATCACGTCGAACGCGACAAACCTCAAGTGTACGTATATAATATACAAGAGGGCCCGGAGTTATATAAGTATTGTTTTTGGATGTAATAAGCATTTTGTTGTCTACCCTTTCTGAGTCACGCGCTCGTAGGGTGGCAGTGGGGGGTTGGCGTGTATTTCGCACACGCAAACCTGCCAAGTTACCATATCCATTTATTATTTCTTCTATTTTCGTTTATTACTTTTATCTCTTTGACGAACTGTATATATTTATACATATATATATATATATAGTATACAGTAGAGGATGACAGGGACGTCAGAATTTTATGTTCACGGGGCTGGGTGTGAGAGGTAAGAAGGACGAGGGTAGAATTTGGATTGGAGGGGTTGTCGTGACGTAAAAGTATTTTTCGAGAGTTGAGTGTTGGATTTTTCCTTAGCAAAGGGGGGAGGGTGCGTTTTGCCACTACATTTTCAAATGGCTATCAATCGAAGCGGTACCAATACACGTTATACTCACACTTGAAAAAGTAAAGCAATCAACGGACAAAAAGACATCACGAAATATCTACTGGAAAAATAAAAAAAGAAAAAAATTCTTTCGGACGCTACGTATGTATACACGCATGATGCGCGTATACACATTTTTACCATCAACAACTTTTCTCCTCCCCACGTCTGCCCCAATAAAATCTGAATAACCCCCCCCCCCGAATCTGATTTGTATATATATTTACGAAGCTCCCTTCTCCTGTCGCTCGTAAACAATAACTCAAAGCTCCATTCTGGCCATCCATCCCCTGGATACGTCCTGCAGCTTTAACGATTCATCCGCGCCGCCAATAAAATAACACGCGTATACTAGAAGCTCCGAAGAGGAAACGAAGACGATGAGCTTGCACCATTGGGGTATACGTATACGTACAACGTACAATAGGCTCGCACAATGGAAGGGGTCGCGCGTGCGAAGCCGAAGCTCGAAAGCTCTCGCCGAGGAGTGAAAAATGACATTTATTCCTCGTCCCCCTCCACCCCCCGAAAGAATAGGAAGAAGCTCTTTGCCGGATTCTAAAAACGCGACAGCAAGTTATATAAATATCTGTACGAGGGTGGATCAGCCATCACTTTACGCGTGGATGAGTCGCTTTTTTTAGGGTTGAATTTCATAATTTTACTTTTAAGCTCTTGCGCGTACATAAATGTACTCCCACACGTATATACATCGAAGTGTTTTTGGGGATCAGGATCCTCCGATACATGGCTTTTTGTTGTTTATTCGTTCCATTGGCTTTGCCGATCGTCACCCTATAAATAAGACGCGAGTAATCAATATAGGCGACAACAACAACAACAACAACGATGACTTTGATTTGAAAAACAGCACCCCAAAGTTGTTATATATACTTATCAGTTTATACGTCCCCAATGAGCCAACAGCGCAAGCAACAATCGAGT